TACACAATTGATGTATGTGTGGATTGTGATAAGAGTTGTATGAGCCCCTAATAAAATGAAAAAAGAAATTTATGGCTCTTTATAAGAAAGCAGTTGATCCATCTAGATAGCATAGATTTGTATTACACCAGCATAATTTCCCTACTTTGTGTTGATTTTGTAATATGTATGTCTTTGCTTATTTTTAAAATATCTTACTTGAAATATTAAATATTTCAAAAATAATAAACTAATAAAAAAATCATCTCTTCTAACTAAGTAAATACAGTATTTGGATTCTTTGTTTGCATTCAGTCTAAGTATATACAATTTTTGTGTGTTTTCTTTTATTGCTTTTCCTTTAAACTTTGGCTGCTTCTAAGGGTGTTGCTGACAGTAACCCTTAATCCTACTTCTGTAGTTAGAAGAGCGACTTCTCTGAGGTACCTGCCTTCCCCTCTGGCCATGGAACAGTGGCCAAGGACAGCAAGGAGGCTTGTCTCCATCTACTCCTGGAACAGTTTTTCTGACGGAAAGTGCCGACTGACCTGTTGACAGACAGGGACTTTGGTCTTCAGAGGCTTTTTCTCCCTGGGCAAGGTTCTCAGCGGGCTCTTTATTATGTTTGCGTTGACTTCCTTTGTTCTGGTGGGCTTTTCTTCCAGAGATCATGCAAATGACACAGTAGTCCAGAGCATTGCTTATTTGAAGCTACAGAGAAACAGCAGAGGCTATAACATGGAGTGATGGAGCATGGAGTGAGCCAGCCCAGGTTTTAGAGGCACAGCTCCGGCCTCAGTTGTTCCTGGACAAGTTAGGCAGCCTCTTGGTGCCTCCTTTTAAAACCAAGTTAACACTAATACCACCTAATGGGGTCATTAAAACCATAATAGGCAATATGTATAGAAAACATTTAGCATAGCTATGTAGAAAATGGCTTAGCATGGTGTCTCAGTAAACATTAGACTCTTCATACTCCAGATATCGCCAGGGCATGCTACTCGGCACAGGAAATCTTAGTAGTCACCCTGTGGATCCTGACAAAAAAAACAACATTTTTTTTTAATTAGAAAATACTTTAAAGGAAATTCTTTTTGGACCAAGAGAACATTATGCTGAGTGAAGTTAGTCCACGTTAAAAGGACCAATATTGTATGAGACCACAGCTATCTGTAAGGATGAAAACCAAGATAAAGACTTGTATAGCAAAGGGAACAGGCTCTGGAAGTTCCCAAGGGAAGGAGGGAAGGTGAAGCAAGGGTGATAGGTATTGACTTTGGTGAAACGGGAGGATGGAGATCCAGGAGAAGAGAAATCTGACAGGAGGTGGGATAGAATATGGGGGGCGGTGGTGGGTGTTGGTGACGCCAATGGTGAAGGGAGTTGGTGAGTGGTTTGAATTATTAAATGTAGAGTTGATCTGAAATATTATCCACACACACACCTGATTCACAATTAAAAACCCATTGAAAAAAATAAAGAAATGATTTTGTTTGTTTTCAATTTGAATATATTTTATGTAAAGCAGTCTTTTAAAAAAATTTTGTAACAGTATTTTTTTTAATTGTTTTATTGGGGGCTCATACAACTCTTATCACAATCCATACATACATCAATTGTGTAAAGCACATTTGTACATTCATTGCCCTCA